ATAATCGACTCGGAAATGATTGAAGATATGTGTTAATGTAAACTGTCTTCTTGCGTTAAACAGTCTCTCAAGAACATAGATCCACAATAGCCGGGCATTGCGAACGTTCAATCAACTTCAAGCACACGGAACCCGCGGACTTCTGCGTTTACCACGTACGCACGACAATTCGGGTTAACAATCGGCAAAGATAGAAAAGGGTTGCGCCGGCCTCGTAGGACGACATGACTAACAGTATCCAGCGGCATACCCTCGAACGCCGGAACCGAGGTTCGACCAAAATTGACAATTTTTACCGTCCAACGAAAATACCTCGACCTAGTTCCACCAGGGGTATTAGAGCTCATGCACCTCCAACAACACGTTTCAGGGCTTACAACTCTAAACACCAACTCTCTTAATGCGCATCCTGCGGTCAATGTAAGAATCAGTGCGGCTGCACCAGCCGACCAGCAAAGTGCTCACACAAATTTTGCCCATATAAAAAGCAATAAAGACGCCCGAAGTGGCTGGACTTAAAAGCGTCATCAACGTATTAGGATATTAATACTTTTCACGCAGTCGATGAGAAGAGTACCTCTATTTCGTCACACTGGAATAAAAAACACATTGGTTCTGGAATCCAGACTCTTGAAAATATTGACAAGAAAGAGGACCCTTGATTCAATCATTTTTGCTTGAATCAAAACGAAATCCGCTTAAGTTAAGAGGCTTGGTTCTTGATTTAAGCTAGATTCTAATAGAATCAAGAGTACCTTTTCTTGTCGATGTTTTCAAGAGGCTGGACTCTAGATCCAATGTGTTTTTTTATCCAGTGCAGTGAGTGCAGGGACACGGTTCCCGCCTTGTTCGAACATATCCTCACTCTATGATTGTCCATTCCTTGAAGTTCTTGTTATAGGTGCGACCCTTCACAGACTCCGTCTGGAAACGAGGGGAATCCACCTCAGCCACTCGCGACCACCGCCACACTCGGCAAAACTACTCAATGAATATATATACTCAATGAATTCGAGTACACATCCGTTCCAGCTTTGATACCAGCAATTTTAAAACAAGTCCGGAACCCTTGGAAAAGCGTGCGTGTGGTGTTTAATGAGAAGCAAACGATTGTCCTACTCGAATTTCAAAGGCGATGAGAAACACCAATCAGTACTTCCTTTCGATACCTTCAGCAAAAAGCCAAAATTTGTCTAAAAGACACGCCGCACTTCTGAAATTAATTTGAGAAAAGAGCTTGTGCGAAAAATAGCCGCGATGGATAGCAAACTCAAGCAGCGCCTTCAATTACGAATGATACAGCGCGGGCCACATCGAAGTTAAAATAGTTGTATCCTAACTTCCGTAAATATATTTGACCTATTTGACTTAACTGCGAATTGCGTGCGTATCATTTCCCTCAAGAGGAAGAAGAAGAAGCTTTAAAAAAACCTTTAGGGGTTTGTAGGGGAATTGAGAAGGAAATTCGTCCTCATTATGCATGTGATCGCATATAATTGTTTCAAGAAGGTTGTATTTTTTCGAATTCACACTTGTGAGAGCCACTCTCTCGGAGCCGGCATCCCTGTAAACCTCGGACGCGAGGGGAGCGAAGGAGAGTGAGCGTGAATTTGCAAGGGATCCCCGGGAGGGGGGTCTGCATGCCGGGGTTGGAAATCATTTACAAACGGAATAAAACGGAAATCCATTTAGGTAAGTTAACGCCGAGCTCGGAGATCCGGTGAGCGAGCTTTCGTCTCACCCATCGATGCCAACTCGGCGGTTCCACTGGTTAATTATTCAGAGGCACCGCTAATTGGACGTATTTCTGTCAAACGGACCTAAGCGCCAATTTGAGTTCCTTTTGAAGAATTAAGAATCCCGGATAGCGCGTTCTGTCAAACGGAACCAAGCGCCATGGGAAAGCATTGCGAGTATAGGAGCGAATAAGCCCGACGCCTGGTTCCGCCGCCAATCCAAGCCCCCCTCTACCTTCCTATCCCGATGGCGCTTAGTTCCATTTGAAAGAAATACGTCCAATTGAACTGTAATTTGCTTTGGAACTAAAATACCCGGCTCAGTTTCGAGACGGCGTGAGTACTATTAGTTTAGACACTTAGTTGGAGATGCAACCAACGTGCGTTAGAAACCCCGAAAACTGGAAATCTCTATACAGGAGGAAAAAGCTCATTCGAGCACATTTTCCTAAACTATCCCTTACCACCGAGCTTGATTGTCGAAAATTCAGGAGGCTGCGCTGCACTGATGATGGGTCAGACTTTAGACCCGAAACGCGTCTGAAGTTGCCTCCCTGTATAGTCGTAACTAGTGTTGCACCAAACAACGTATCTCTTAGAGGGAAAATCGTGCTCGCATAGGCGTTCTTTTCCGCAGTACTGGATTTTTAACGCACGTTGGCTACATCTCCAAATGACTGTCTATACCGCGCTTTGAAACATTCGGTTTATGACGTCATCCCCCAAAAGTGGTTTCTTCCGCCGTGCCTCCTATCAAGTTTCATATTGAGTGACCAGTGCAAATGTGTCTCCTTGAACCGAGAAATGAACCGAGATTGTCACTATTGCGGTGAATGACATCATATACCGAATTTTTCAAAGCGCGATATTTCGGATAATGTTGAACAAGGAAAGCTGCTAAAAGCAGAAAATTCAAATGTTCTGACTTTACGGGAAAATTAGAATTTCTTTTAGAATATGGTGCAACTAAACTAGTAGACGGAACCTTGGCTCCAGCATTGAAACATTCAATACCACGCATGTTTCCTACCGTGGTTTTTACCAGATTAGTTTCTAGCTGATAAATGAGTCAGGAGAGGAAATTAGGCAACGTCTAATGTAGTTAGGTTGATTTTTATTAAATCCGGCACGACTCTGCTCCGAGGGCTTCGATGCGGTTATAATCAACGCGCCCGTCGCTAAATTCGTCGCACCTCTGACGGGAACCTTTGACTGCATTTAAAACAGGGCCCTCTTTTTAACAGACCTGTAGGGGCTCCACGGCTCACTTGGAAATTGAGATACGCGCTTACATCCGAATAGCGTGGAGGTGGGACCGAGCGACGGCCCTTTCAGCTGAAACTGTGTCGACAACGGGGGACTCAGTTTGTTCTTGGAATTCGTAGCTCGAATGTAAAGTCGAAAAGTTGGAAGTAGCTGTAATTTATATGAAATTACGTGTTCGCGCTGATGACTAAACCATAAAATACCACGAAAAATAATTAGATAGAATCCGGAAAAACTCAATTAGGTTCGAGGTTCTCGTCTCGTCCTGGAAGTCATGGTCTCAGCGTGTTCATAACTTCCTTTTCATGTGTTAATTGGTCTTACACTACGTGATTTTTTAAGGACTTGCTACTTACAAGCTACTGGTTAAGCCGAGACAGGTCTAAGACCACGTACTGCAGAAATAATTTTACCGTATGTGGACTGCAGTTTGCAAGTCGGAACTACAGTTTCTGGCTCAGTTTAGAAACAACGTACGTGACACTAGTTTTCCAATGCACACAAGTGTTTTTACGGGTGAGTCAGAAATTGTAGTTCCTAATGGCAAAATTAAGTCCAAATGCGGCAGACAAAATCGCAACATGAAGATAGTATTACTTATTAAAGCCATGCTTGAGACTTACCCTAATATTGAAACAATTACATTGTGCTTTATGATAGGGGAAAAAACTGTGTTGATAGTACGAGCTCAACCTTCAGCCATATCCTTTAATTCGCCACATCATTCAACGAGAAGCTTGCCGTTGGATTCGGATCGCATACCCGACCAACCCATTTTTGAGTAATGACAAAGAATCATAAGATTCCTTACTGCAAGTTCATGCAATCTAACTTTAGACTTACCTGTACAAACACATGTGCTTTTTTAAAAACCCGTCATGTAAAAATGGAAGATCCGAGTAAGGCCGAACTCTGACTGGCGACTGGTTTCATTTTCCCCAAGACAGGTCCCGTCGAAATCCCCCCCCCCCCCCCCCCCANCCTCCCCATAAAAATGAGAAAGAAAGGTCTGAAAGAAGCCGTAAAAGGCCCTGGGAGGTTTCTTAACAACTTCTGGAGGAGGTTCAAAAACGTCCCAAATGGTGCCCCTACGAAGGCTTTTTGTCAAAATTATAGGAGGCGATCGACCCCCAACCAGTCCGACCATGGAACCGAGTGTGTAAGAATAATATTGTGTAAAATTGAGGGACTTAGAGGACAAGGCACGTGAGCGCAGTTCTTGCTATTTCAAGAAATACTTGTTTGAAGTTTGGAAATTACATAAATCCTCATGGCGGAAGAATGTTCACACTGCCTTTTCGATGCTTACAAATTGGGATTTTGAAGCGTATTTTCAAGATATTTCAATTTTTTTCAAAAACTGCACTTGTGCGCCTTATCCTCCAAGCCCCTCAAATGTTCAAGAAAAATTTAAATTCAAAATATTTAATTTCCTACACTATTGAAGCATTACAAGGTAAAAAGAAAAATGCGATAAGAGAAGGACGACGGGTTCTAACCACTAAGATTGACGCAGATGGAGACCTAAAGGAATATCTTCAAAGGAATACCATCAAGTTCCATTTTCCACCGCCCTCAGCGCCACATCAAGGTGGCCTATGGGAAGCGGCTGTTAAATCAGCGAAAAGACATCTCTCCCGAGTCATTGGGAACTCCACACTTACTCTTGAGGAATTCCAAACGCTCTGTTGCAGAACAGAAGCGATGCTGAACTCCCGACCACTGACTCCAATGTCCAGCGACCCGAACGATTTGCAGCCGCTAACCCCCGGACATTTTCTGATTGGCCGACCTATGAACTCTTTACCCGCACCAGAAGCGTCGTCCGAAGACACCCGTCCAGCCGAAAACATCCCCGAAAATATTATTCTCCCTGAGCAATGGAGTATTTTCATGGTGGACTTGTGACGGGCAGCACGCTGTCTTGCAGTAGGAAGAAAATGGGGAGATTGAGATCAACAACAATATTGTAAGTAATGAGTGGGTTTGAGGACTCACCAGGAGCAGGAGCAACAGCAGCACCAACAGAGGCAGCAATTCTTGTTCTGGAGGCGGTGCAGGTAGCCGCGGGCGGGGGCGCCGTGGTGCTGGTGGTGGAGCGAGCCGCCGCTGCCCCCCGGCCCATGCCCCGGCCCCGGCCCGGCCAAACCCACTGCCCCGCCGTTGTCACTCGACGACGCCACCGCACTCGTCATCTGAAACATACCCCGAAACCGTCAATCATAGATCCTCCAAACCTTCAACATGTTCCATCGATGAAATACGCCTATAGTAAACACTTCAAAAAAGGTGCTTGTCCGACAGAACACAGGTGAGAATTTCATGAACCGCCCTACGCCGTCCGCAGTGCGCATGGCGCATAGTTCGCGTCGTATCGTGCTTAAAATTATAAAGCGTTATTACCACGAAATTAATGATAGTTTTATTAAGAGACTTGAGTACAAATAGAAGAGACTTGCTTGAAGTAAAAAGTAACTGAACTAAGGTTATACTCTAAAATTACAAGCAATTGCTATCATCATTATTGTATCAGCTGATACAAATATTATGCTTCAACAGCGCACGACCGGCCTCTCATTATCACACTTCATCTAGCGTTGAGAGTTCATTAATTACTTCACACAACCAGTGTGTAATATTAAAAGTCGAAAATTAAAAAAAAATTACACGATACGCAAGTTTCTCCGCCAGGGAGCTCTCCCCAAAAGAAATCGTTCACCACCCGTCAGCCGGGAGTGCTGCGGCGTGCTGCCAGCGCGAACCGCGCACTGACCCTGACCCCTACAAACCTAAATGGACACTTCACGCATTGCGCCATGCTTGTTGTATCCCTTTAGGTTTGTAGGGGTCAGGGTCAGAGCGCGTTTCGAGCTGGCAAGCACGCAGCGCCGCAGCGTGCCATAAACTTGCACACAATTAATAGGTCAGGGTATTAAAATGTAGGCAATTTGACCTCAAATTCGAAATTAGCGACTCAAAAAGCATCAGTTACGAGACTTTCGTGATCTTTTAGTCATTAACCGACTTATTTTGGACCATAGTGCGCCGCGGGCGGCGGCGCTCATGGAATTCCCCCTGTGCTCAATTGGTGTTTGGCTCAAGCATGATGATTTTTCAATTTGCCGCCACGAATTTTTTTTACCTTGATTTAAGCTGAAATTTTTTGATACAAGAAAAATAATTCTTGGGTGAAGCAAAAAAGTAGTTTATATTCAGCAGCAAAAGTCATGATTTAAGAAAGAATACTTCTAGCCGGCAAATAAAAGATTCTTTTTTTTTTTTTTTTCAGTGAAAACTTCCAGCATGTTTAACGAATTTCACTGGGTGCGATGAGTAGGAAGGGGAAAGCATGTTTCATCAATGAAATACAGCCATAGTGCAGACTTCCAACATGTTTAACGAAATCCACTCTGTACGACCAAGAGGGAAAAAACATGTTGCGTCAATGAAATACAGCTAAAGTAGACACTTCCAACATATTTAACGCATTTCACGGGGAGTGATGAGGAGGAGAAATTCCATGGTACTATCCCGAATTTTTCATCTTCTCAATACATAAAATTTTCGAGTGCTACTACCATATAGATGTCACACATTACAAAACGTTAAAGAATATATAGGAAAGGAAACTAGTCATCGCTGTTGGCTGCAACTTCAAGTACTGGATTGGTTTCATCGATTATCGGTTGCGGTGATTAGTGTTGACCGTGTTATCAAAATATTTTTTCATAACAACATGGATCTAGTTTTGGAAAGGTAAAATAGAGTCCTAAGTTTTCAAACTCTTACTATTTTCTATCCGACTGAAGAAAACTGTGGTGTTTCCAGCCGAAACGTCTTTGTGCCATCTGTGTTGTTAGCCTTGTAGACGTGCTGTTGTATTTATTAAATGTCAAGGATGTTAAAGGATCAACTAAAATGTTTTGTAAAATTAAATCAAATTACAAGTGTGCGACCCGAACATCAAAGTTTAAGTGTTTAGTGTTATATGTGAGGACAATTCGCCTTGAACCACCTTGAAATCTCGCGATGGAACGCTATTTATTGCCTGTCACTTGCCGCTGGTCATCACAATTCACCAAAAATTCATCTGGATGGGTCGTTATGTGAATTGGATGTTTTTCTCTCCTGTTGAAATACCATTTTTAATTCAAGGAGAGACAACACATCTCATTCCATAGCGACAGAAACACCGCGAACTCCATCTTCTGAGGAAAGGAGACGCCAACCTCTTCCAACACCGCTGGTGCCGGCACCTGACGAAATGGCGACGGAAGAAAACCCAGCAGCGAAAACTTTCGAAAACCATGTGTAAATTAAACTACAATTGAATTATTGATAGCTGACGATAAAAAATAGTTCTGCATGAAACGAGTAGCAAATCAGCTTCCAAAAATGACTATACTTCATGCATTTATCGGACCCAAATCTTAGGGTCTGGACTGGTTGAAAGAGAAAGGAATTTGATGAAATACGCGAGTATTCACCAAACGGTATCAACGATAATTGAACGCTAGGTATGTACTTGATGCAATTGTATGCTGGTTTGTCGCAGCAACGTACAGCAACGTACGCGGCTACTTGGAACATTAATCAAGCAACTGTAATTCGGAATATCGCAATATCGTCTATGCAAGAATTATCCTGAGGGCACGTTCCACACAAATTCAGCTAGGTCATATTTCTCGTTAAAAAATTACAGACCAAACCTCCAAATAATCTAAAATCCTTAATTCTACTCAAAACGGTTCCGATTTACTATCAAAATTTTGGGGTAGAACGCATTTATTTATCAACAAAAGTATTAATTTCATAACTGGAGAAACACATTCTGTGTGCTACACCTCACTTTGGTTTACACTTTCTTCTCTTAATTCTATTTAACATGTGCTTCGTGATTTTCCTCGTGAATAAGTTTTGATAACATTCGTTGTTTTCTGTTTACTACTTTTTCCTATTTTTACCGACTAAGTATGCACTGTAATTATTATTTCGTTCAACCCTGATCGTTGTGTTTTGCTTTGAATCTTGCTGAAGTGGGTTACCTAAGCCCGAAATGCTTTCAAGGTAATACATTTTAAAACTTAAACATAGAGTGTTTTGGTTTGAACATATTCCCATTTATTAATTTCAGGTGCCAAAGGCTGCAACAGCCAAACGCAACTCTGCGCGCGCAGAGTTCCGCGTCCTGAAAGAGGATCCCACCCTTGCAGCGACGGTCGCTCTGAAGAAGTGGAAGAAGTAGCCGTACCGGTTCGCAAACAGTTTAAGAGAGTATAGGCACTCATCCCCGCTGGATTCACCCCAAGATTGCATCCCCCTGGATTCTGCCCCCAGGCCTCACCCAAAGGCTTCGCCTTTACCTGGGTTGCAACTACTAATCATGGTTTGTAACGCACTAAACACAATTTAGTAAACGCACGCTTTGAGCTATATTCAGATACAATTACAGTATCGAACATAAAACTGATTTTCCTGCGTCCATCGATAGATAGAAACCTTTTGTTGCAATTTGTTCCGGGTACCCCCCCTTCTTTCTTGTTTCTTTACCGGACTATCTTCCTCCTCAAGCAATGCGAGAACCCCTTCCACGTACAGCGTGCCAGCAAACAACCTTTTCACGTGCCAGCAGCCGAACTGACCAGTCGTCTATTCAAGCATAGGAAGATCGGTAAGCCATTTTGGCTCTTCTATTCTCCCCTCTCTCCGCAGTGTTTCACAGCGGTCATCCCCGCGGAGTTTAACCGCGGGATTTTCTTCAATCTCTCTCTACGGTGTAGCACTGCGGGTAACCCTCTGGAGCCTCTCCGTGGGACATTCTCCAGCACACTAACGCAAAAGGCTGTTAGGTCGCCGCGCGCGGTGTCTTCGCGGAAGCGTTTCTCGGCGGATCTCGCTGAGCTCTGTAGACTCAGCCCTTCCCGGGCTTCACTGGGTAAGGATCTGGTAGTTCTAGGGTAGTTCTTCCGCGATCTAGGGTCTTCGCGGCGCTTCGCTGCGTGTTAGGCATCCCCCTCGCTGCGCTGTACGCTGCAGTTCCGAGTACTTCTCACGGTGCTGTCCACCGCAGTCAAGAGTCTTCGCGGCGCTTCGCTACATGTCAGACACTCCCTTCGTTTCTCGCGATAACACAGACTCTTCGCGGTGATGTCCACTGCGGTATTTCCTCTCTGCGGCGCTTCACCAAAGAGCTAGCCCCCCCCCCATCCCCCCTAGACACCGCACTCTTATTAGTTCTCTCGCTCGGCATGTCATACCAGAGATGTCATTGCGATGACCGTGAAGAGGATATTTAATTATGTACCAATCATGCTAGGACACCTGGAGATAGAGCGAGTTACAGCTTTCAAGTATCTTGGCATTATATACGAGCAAAGATGGCATTTTAATTTGCATCTTAAATACATCAAAGACCGTGTGGTGGTGAACACTAACCTCATCAGATTTATCGCTGGCGCCAAATGGGGCTGCAATCCCAAAATCCTTAAAACTCTTGCAAAATCTCTCATTTACCCACTCTTCGAATTTGGTGTCCCATTTTACCTGGACCAGGTCAATCTGAAAACCCTGAACGTTATTATCAATAAGAGCATCAAAAGTGTCTTTGGACTACTCAAGGAAGATGGTATCTGTTTATTTAGCCACGTGGCGAACTGCAATAAAAATTGTTGCAAATTGCCACAAACTCTGGGGGCTGTGTGGCTAAATGAAACAAGAAAAGTTAGTGTGGCTAAATGCAACAAAAATTGTTGCAGTTAGCCACAGTCTTTGGAATGGCCTACCAAATTCAGCAAAACAAAATTTGTTATTTATCCACCCATTCTTATTTTACTGCAAAGCATTTGATATTATTGAAGATCTGGTATAGATTAAAAAGTATAAACAACCATTCGTATGTATTGAAAACAATTTTTCTTTAAAAATAATTTTACCATCCTCCACTAGTGACCAATGCAATACTGATTCTACTTTACGCCGAAATACATGAAAATCTACTAATAGGAAAGTATCCGAAGGAATTATTGACTACATGCATCCAGCTCTCCTCCCTTAGATTAGGTCATTAGGTAAGGTAAGGTTATGTTAGGTTAGGTAAGGTTAAGTAAGCTATGTTACATTATAAGGTTAGGTTATGTTAGGTTAGGTTATGTTAGGTTAGGTTATGTTAGGATAGGTTAGGTTAGGTTAG